GACTAGTAAGAGACACAATTACATGCAAAACACGGTGTATATGTTATGAATCTTACACGAAATTCACCTTCATCACAGTGTAACTGATTGTAATGGGAAAACGTGTATCAATGCAACCTGTTTTTAGCTTTGCTTTATGTTACTAGCTCGTTAACGAATCAAACTCAACATATTTTAAACTTTACCAGTATCGATATGCTAGCTTGATAGTGAGTACTAACAGCCATGTTAGTGGTTTATATTCATAATGATAAAGTTAGGTATTTTATTACATGTGAGTCTGACATGATGTCACTACATGCACTGCTCCTCTCGGCGCTGGTATAAGCGCGTCCTCCAGCTGTGAGCTGTCGGCATCGCGCGTTCATGTGTTTTGGGGGCGTGGTTTTGGAAGGAGCCCAGAATGGAGGGGGTGGAAGTGAATGGAGATAAGTAGCTGTGTTTATTACAGCCCTGAGAGGACTACAGACACTCGATTTTTATACTCTCTTTTCCAGAGTACTTACATTTTAATTATGCATTGATATATATAGAAAGTTTAAACAAATTTGGCAAAAAGTTTTAAAAAAAAATCCTACCTACAATACCTTTAATTTGATTATTAAAGCTGCAGTCCATCACTTTTTTTAAGTTCAAAATGTACAAAATTTATATAACAAGCGAGTACATAATGAATCCATTTTCCAAACCGTGTTTTTGTCTTATCTTAAATCACTATGGTACACTTATAATAAGTGTTTACATTCAGACTATTTTAGGCCCCGTCCACACTACTGCGTTTTCGTTTTAAAACGGAGACCTTTTGCTACGTTTGCACCTCCCGTCCACACTAAAACGGCAAAAACGGAGACCCAAAACGGAGAAGTTTAGAAACGCTGCCGATCCGTTTTTCGTTTTGAATCTCCGGAGGGCGTTTTAGTGTAGACGGGTCAAAACGGAGGACTTTAGAAACGATGAAGTAGTAGAGGCTCACGCTCGGCTCTATGATTGGGTGTCATCAGTCATGGCATATATCTTTGCTAGCCGCTGTTGTACAAGTAAATTCTGCATTTTACAACGCTATAACTGCCTACATGCGCCGGAGTCAAGCTATTATTCGAGCGATCTGTGACAATTCCCGTGTGCAGCGGCGGCGTTGACCGTACATGGAGCGTCGGTTTGGGGTTCATCCATTTTATCAATGAAGTTGTGTTTACACCGGCACACGCATGCCCAGTGTTGGTGAATGGTCACGTGATCCGTGTTTTCAGTCGTTTTAATGTGGACGGAGATCAATTCTAATACGCAGCTAAAACGCTGGTGTGGACGGAGATCGTATTCGTTTTAATTATCCGTTTCTAAACTAAAACGCAGTAGTGTGGATGGGGCCTTAGACTGGTAGGGGTCATACCCCTGCAGAGTAGCCCAGTATCTGCGTAACTCGTCACAGACATAAACAGAGAGAAGCAGCTCTGGCTACAATGTTCTTCCGCAAGACGCATACAGTTCTGTTTATTAACCGCTAGAGCGCCAACACTTATGGACTGCAGCTTGATTAAATAATTATACATTTTTGATTTTAAGCATATAAATATTAGCCACTTGAGTCAAAAGCTTTTAGAATGACACAATAAAATGGCTGTTTATGTGGACAGGCCTTTCAAATTATTAGCTAGTTATGTAATGAAAGTTTTTAGTTGTCCACCAGAGCTCAATGCTGTGTCTGCTTTCCTTAAGACCCACGGTTCAGGAGGATGGTGGAGATGTCATATTCAAAGGCTTTGAGGATGGCACTGTGAAGTTGAAGCTTATTGGCTCCTGTACTGGCTGTCCCAGCTCCACAGTTACCCTAAAAAATGGCATCCAGAACATGCTGCAGTTTTATGTACCCGAGGTAGACCTGGTAGAACAGGTGAGAGATATAAATCCATTAAAGGTGGCCTATTATGTTTTTTTTTCTTCAACTTTCTTTAGTGTGTAATGTTGCTGTTTGAGCATGAAAAAGGTCTGTAAAGTTACAAAGCCCAAAGTTACAAAGTCCACTCTAAGTGCACCGTTTCTGAACTCCCTGAAACGCCTTTATTGTTGTCTTGAGTTTTCTTCCTGGCAATATTTTCTTCAATATCCTTCATTTAAATAATTCCCGCCTAAAACATGCTAGGGAAAAAAAGGGGGCGTGACATTTCCAAAACATGCTCGAAACGGTCAACCAATCAGAGGACATTTTTACTTTTCGTAAGGAGGGGCTTCATAGAGACAGAAACTTAACAGATCGTTAGTGACAGACTTTGAAAGGAAGTGCTGCAATAATGTAAAATATTTGAAAGAGAATTAGTCTTTTGAACGTTCAAGCATGAAAACCAATTCTGTTAGACCCCAAAAACAAAACCAAGACTTAATATGACAAAAACGGCATAACATGGTCTCTTTAAAGTTATTCATGTGAACATTATTTGCATATTTTACCTACAGTGATCATTACTTTCACTATTCACATGACTATGTATATCTTTGTATTTAATAAGGTGGAGGATGAAGTGGATGAGGTCAACACAAAGGTTTTTACAGAACTGGAGAAGAAACTGCAAGACTCATAGCATGAGACCCGGCCGGCTCTGATGTCAACATATTTCAATTGCTATCAATGTGTTATAATCATAGTGGGATTCAGACACTCCATAAGGATGCTGAATAATTAAGGTTCAGAAACTAGAATATACTGAAATATTTAACCAAGCCTAAAGTCATAAGTTGTTCTGTTTCCACTATAATAGTGCAATATTGTGGTTGCAAGTACAAGAAACTGAGCTCTGCACTTTCCATATTACCGTTATGTGTTACGACTGTGGCTCTTTTAGATCTTATGTTAAACAGGTTTGTTACTTGTCTGAGAGAAAAGGTTAAATTGAAGACGGTTGTAATGCTTTTTAATTTCAAATCTTTATTGCATGTTGAAATTTCACCTAGATGTCTGGTGAGTGCATTAAATAAGTGGGAGTTCTTTTGGTATGAATTCACTGCTGTGATCCTGATACTTTCTTAAACCTCAATTGACCACTTGCAATTGTAGATCTACCACAGCTCTAAGAGTCTTTCAGAATGAGATCAGTTGTGAAAGATTGTATTCATCTACTGCCATCCAGCAGTTTGGGAGGACCTATAATGAAATAAAGTTAGTGATTGTCTTGGTGTAGATGTTTGTCATGCCATTTACAACTTTTCTCCTTAGGTTTGAAACAAATTATTGAGCTTGTTTGTAATTTTCTGCATTTTGTTCTATAAGCCTCCATTTTTATTCTGCATTTCAGCATAAAAAGGTCAACCCATTTGTGAACAATTGTGTTTCACTAATTTCTCCAGAATGAGAGATTTGAATATCTAATACCATTTTGGTATTAGATACCAAATACCATACCAAATACCTAATACCATGCCAGCAACCATATAACCCTGTAGCCCAAGAAGACTGGTAGCCCACTGAAGATACCAAATTGCGCCAATTTGGTCCTGACGAGAGTCTGTGACCTGACTGATGAGGTCCTGACGAGGTCCTGACTCTCTGTGGTCACAAAAAATCCCAGGATGTCCTTCGAAAGAGTAGGGTTGTAACCCCGGCATCCTATGGCCTCTGTCCATCATGACCTCCTAATCATCCCTATATGCTCATTGGCTTAATAACTCTCGTCTCCTCTCCAACAATAAGCTGGTGTGTGGTGGGGGTTCTGGCACAATATGGCTGCCGTCGCATCATCCAGGTGGATGCTGCACATTGGTGGTGGTTGAGGAGATCCCCCTTATGTAAAGCGCTTTGAGTGCAGAGAAAAGCGCTATATAAATGTAATGAATTATTAAAGCTGCTGTCGGCAAGTCTGGCAGATTGAGTGGATTTAGGAAAATTTTGAATGTTTACAACTCTCATGCCCCTCCCCCACTATCAACGGATACCTCCCACCAAGTTCATGCTCGTCAGTGCGTGTGCACCAGATTTTCAGTGAACGCGCCCGTCTCATCAGCATCCATCATCAACACCATGGAGTATTTGGAGGTATGCTGTCTTGGCTAATCTACCGATAGATTGCAATTGCTAACGTCATTTATACTCTAGTCTAAATGAGCTTACTTGATTATCCGCCATCACTCTTCGTTACTGCGCGAACTTCAGGCGTGTGCATGCCACGTGATTGTAACGTGCGCCCGATCTGTGATTGACAGTCAGACCCCCCCCCTGCGCTGATTGGACATGATGAACCGGGAGCTGTGGATTTTTGCAAAACAAATAACACGCTCAATTCTGGAATTTCTGAGAAAAAAAGTCGCAATTATCTTTTAAATTGTTTTATGCCATGGTGGAAAGCAGGTTCTTACACGATGGTGGAATTTTGTAACAAATTCTTCATATGCATATTTGCTATTAGTGGACATCAATTTTCAGTTTTGGATATTTTTTTCTGTGCATTATTTGATGTTCAACAAAAAATCTTTCCGGAGTGTTCAAGTCTCAAAGTCACTTGGAATTTAAGTGAATGGAAGCTAAAAACGAACCTTTCGGGGGACATTTAAAGTAAACAGACTTGGTTGTTTACTACTTCTATATGGTCTGGAAATACAAAGTAAATGTTTTCATTTCATTTTGCAACAAAGCGTAATGAAAAAAAGTGGAATTTCAAAACAAAAAAACACTCAGCTCCAACTTGTCCAAACCCAGATAACTAATTATTTTGGATTTCATATAATGACTCATGCATTTTGAGTGGAGAAAATATGATTTGAAGTAAAACGATCCAATAATAATAATGATTCTGTTATATATGCTAGCTATAACTGAACCGTTAGTATTACTGTTATGTATTATGTGTGTGTGTTATTTTTTATTTGTGTGTGTGTTATGTATGGCTATTATTTGATTTCACGTCAGTGTGCGCCACTGTCAGGTTTTTCTTGTCTATTGTCACCCGACCCTGGATCAGTAATGCGCTGATGTACTTCACACGATCTGCGCATGCGCTACATCCAGACGTCTCCAACCGGTGAATACGAGAGGACGACGGGTAAGCAGCAACAATAACAGCTAGCTTGCATGCCTATATATCGACTTAAGTTTTGTTATATTATTAATGCTTTGTCATGCACTGTGTTATGCTGCGTAGACTGTATACACTTTTGAGGTGTAAATGAGACCATAAAGTGCACGGACAGAAAACTAGACAGTGTGCTCATGCGAGGGCCCGAATCAGATTGCACTGCTGAAAAACAAAACACTGCAGTCAGCACAGTTGTGACTTACACACTACCACCGAGACCGCTGCTTAGTTTGAGTTAATACACTTCATAGTGGTTGACGGTGATAATACGGGGTTTTAAATTGTTAGGTCAGTGTTGTTGTGTTGCTCCGTTAGCTGCTTAGCTTGCATTGAGAATACGTTGGTGTGCTAAGCTAGTGCAGATAAAAGATTGGCTAATAGTGTGTCTTATTCACTGCTGGATCTGGACTTAGACAGGGTTTTAAAGCAGGAAGAGGTTGTAAACAGTCCGTTGGTGTTCTGGAGCTGACAGATGGCATTAGCTGTGTTTCAAAATCTAGTAAACTCCCTAACTAGACAGCATGTGAGTGCCTTTCGAGTCTCTGGCTCTCAAGATAACTTGAAGTTATTTAAATTAAGTTAACAATCTTGCAAACACAGTTATCAGTAAATAATTCAGATCTTCTTTGCTGCTACTTTTGTTACGTATAATTTAGATTTCTTAATAATAAACTAAACATGTTAAATATTTATAAAAAATCTTGAGAATAATCATAAGCTTTATTATTTTAACCTATGGACAGACCCAGTTTCTGTTTCAGAAAGGTTAAAAACAAGCATCTTTGCAGCTGTAGTACAATATAAAATAGCATATAGTCTAAAAATGAGGGCCCTTCGATTCTTGTCTTGGGCAATAGGACACAAGTTACAAAGATCAACAACCATTGATTTTATGCTTAAATGTTTTGAGCTTGCAATTTTATTAAGTTTGAATAACATCCCCCCACAGGAAATAATCCACCATCTGGTCCAGCAGAAAACGTGAGCAGGTCTCCATGGCCCAGTTCGGGGGGCAGAAGAACCCTCCATGGGCGGCCCAGTTTGCCGCAACAGCGGTATCACAACCAGGCCACTCAGGACAGTCCCTGGACCTGAACAGTTTACATTGTAAGTCATCATCAATACTTACATAAACACGTATTTTGATTTACATTATTGGCACTACTTTACATTCAACAAATATGTCTTAATTGTTAGTCTAAACATGCATGAATAAAGAGAGTTTTCTCTCTAGCTTTTGTTGCTCTAGCTCTCTAATTGTGAAGGTCAAAGCTCAAGATGTTTTCGTTTGGTTTACATTGACAGGTCAAAGTTTGCTTGTGCTTGTTTGAATGTTATCGATAGCAGTCACAATGTCCCTACAATCTCACATGTTTCTCCCATAGCTTTAGGAGTACAGCAGCCGTCCCTCCTGGGAGCATCTCCGATGTACACTCAGCAGTCTGCTTTAGCTGCAGCCTCCCTCAACTCACAGTCAGCTGCCAACTATCAGCTGTCGCAGCAGACCGCAGCACTCCAGCAACAGGCCGCCGCAGCCGCTGCCGCTGCATTACAGCAGGTGAGATCCACCACTGGAGAAATTACACAATAAAGCCTTTGGCTAAGTTTGGAATAGCATACTAACATTCTAGACTTACTATTTCTGCAATATGTAGTATGTGTACTGTGTGAACAGTATGCAAATTATCCCGGATTTACACAAGATAACAATCAGCAGAATGTGCAGCACACTGCGTGATACTGTATCCCACAATGGAACATGCTTGACCTTTCATTTCCAGTGTGATGAATGAACTGGAAGCAATTATACCGACTTTTAACAGGTTTTGACACATTTTTTTAGAATTAATAATTTTTTTTTTGCTAAATGTAAAAAGTGTGCCATACTATTGTTTGAAACATTTATTGTGGTACAGTACCTAGTATAGTACCTATTATTTTCCAAAAATGGTAGTATGTGATAAATGAACTGGAAGCAGTTACAGCTGCTAGTAACGTAATGTTTTGAATAATTTTCTGATTGTATTGCCAAAATTTCAAGTAGCATACTACTGTTTAAAGCATTCACTGTGGAATAATAGATAGTATTATTATTTTTCAGAAATTGTAGTATTTGATGAATGAACTGGAAGCAAGTACAGCAGCTTTTAACACAACGTTTTGAATACTTTTTTATTGTATTGGCAAGAATTAAGACATAATTATATGCAAAATGTGGCAACAGAGTAGCATACTACTGTTTAAAGCATTCACTGTGGAATAATAACTAGTATAGTACCTGTTATTTACTAAATGTGACAACAGAGTAGCATACTACTGTTTAAAGGTCCCCTGACATGGGGTTATTTTATAATGTTTCCTGGGTTGCCCTTATAATGTTAGTATGTTTTTTAGATCAAAAATAGTCATAATTTAGAAATAAAAGGCATTTTTCCTAGCCTGATTTGAACGCTCTGTTTAAAGGGGCGTGTCTGCTGTGGGATTCAGTGGAACGGGCCTCTGCTGTGATTGGCTGACATGCTTGCATATGAAATAGCTACGTATTACATGTGAAACTCTCTCGAATACCTTTACTACAGCTATTATACGTTTTTACTATTACAGCTATCGAGATTAACGAATTGTGAGAAGTTTTTAAAGTATTTAGATCTATTCCCATCACATAAAAAGTTTCTGTGATGAGCATTGAGCAAGCAGATGACAGTCTGTTGATCGTGAGAATGAAGATCTCATCATTGCAACGCAGTTTCTGCACTCTCTCTAATGCTTTCACCAATGCAAGCACGATGATGTACATACAGTAAGAGCTTTGTTATGCAGTGTAACGTGCGTCATTGATTTCATAACGAGTTGTCCAGATAAACTCGCGCTGCGTGGAAAGATTGTTCTTTGATCGCTTTCTGTATAATTTGTTCACAATTTAAATAAGATTATTTTCATCCTACTAAAAGAAACGATGTGAAGTTGATATTTTAGTCACTGGCTTGACTTACTGATGCATAAACCATATTGAACGATTTTGAGAGAAAGATTACCTGTCTGAACTTGAACAATTAGGCTACACATCAGAAATTGCTGCTTGGTAGCTCGATCGATTTATTTTCAGACGTTCATCGAGGCCAGCTCTGTATTGGCCCAAGTTGAGAAAACAGTCGTCGGTGAAATGTTTGGACCATACAAAACTTTGGGAAGTTGTGTCGGCGCATTTCCAGAGAAGATAAAATTAACCCATGGTTTCTTCAGAGGCTCGAATGAAGGAACTAAAAAATACTTTTGTGTTCATTTGTACATCCGAACACTGATCAACTGCCATGGTTCGCTCGTTTGCAAGCCATGATATCTCTCGAGGAAAAACTCAAATCGCGTCTTCGTACTTCCTAGCTCATTTTTTCATGGGCGAGCCAAATTCTCTGGGCGGGGAAAGCAGAGAAAAGGGAGGTTACCTTTCCTCCGTATGACGTCATACGGAGGAGATTCAAGATCAGCCCGTCTGAGCTTTCATTTTCTCAAAGGCAGAGAAAGATAGCCAAAGCTCGGTTTACACCAATTGAAATTTCTAGCCACTGGGGGACCATATACAGGCTAGGGGAACTCATATTAATGTTAAAAAAACCTCAGAAAGTGAAAATTTCATGCCAGGGGACCTTTAAAGCAACAATACTGAAATATTTTACTGTGGAATTATAGCTGGTATAGTACTTATTTTCCTAAAATAGTTGTAATTACTAATTATACGGTATATTCTGTGCACATAATACCACACAGTGGAACATAATACCACACAGTGGCACCTAAACCTAACCTGATCTTATTTCCATTCATTGCAGTGTATAAAGTGCTTCCTCCTTCATTCTGAATTGTACTTATCTGCATTTCTAGCTTGCTCAGTGTTGGAGCCCTTGAGCCCTTCCCCCAGCCTGCAGTGAGCAGTCTTGAGTCACTGGTGTGTTTTATTTTAGTCGCAGATCAATTCAGCCCTGCAGCAGTATCAGCAGCAGCAGCAACAACAGCAGCAACAGCAGCAGCAGCAGCAGCCACCTCAAGGCCCCCCGCCACAACCTCCACCTCAAACCCTTTACAACGTCCCACATCAGGTACATGCGCTCACTCTACAGATTAGGCCTGTAGCGGCGCGTCGATGACGTCGACGCTTCGACGTCAAAAATTCGTCCACGTCATATTTTTTTGTCGACGCTTCTTTATTTATTTATGTATTTATTTTTTTGCACCGTTCCCGGCGGTACAGCTCGCCACACACACGTGGGAGACCGAAACATTGCAGAATCGAGGACGAAACAGCAACCTCTTCACAGAATTCACAACAAAGCCATGCAAAAGTCCCAACAAAAGAAAAAGTCCTAAAAAAACCCAGCTCGCACTAAATCATCGAAGGTATGGGAATACTTCAAATTTAGTCCCAAACGTAAAGGTGTCGTTATTTGCGCTCTTTGTCAAATGGAGTTGACATCCCAAGTCTCCCGCATAGTGATAGCGGCTCCCTGATGACCGCAAATTAGTTAAAATCTCCCGGAATCTAGAGCTCGCGAGCTCCAAACCGTGTAGCGCGCGCAGCGAGGGAGAGAGCGAGAGACCTTGCGCGTGTGTGTGCAAATGTGCGTGTGTGCCTTATGAAGCGCATGTAAACCCCACCCCCGTCAACAAAACCGAAAAATCAGTCCGGATGTTTTTTATGAGCACTGAAAACATTAAAATGAGCACCACATCCAAGTGTGATAGGGCTCATTTGAGTAGCCTACCAAACATTTTACAGTGTAGATACTCTGTAAGAACCAGATCAAAATTGTTGTGCATTGAATGTGCACTCCTGCAATTTCCATGTTACAAAAAAGAATCGTTCAATTAGTCGTTAGATTAGTCGACTAATCGATAAAATAATCGACAGACTAATCGTTTAATTAATAATCGTTTACCCCAGCCCTACTACAGATGTACAATATATCGGCCACCATATCGTATCGGCCGATATATGTTCATTTTTAATGTAATCGCTATCGGCCCGATGAGAAAATTTTAAAGCCGATAAATAATGGATTATTTCCTTCAGATGCGCACTGTTCAACATGATGGTTTTGAATTGCTTGAAACATGATTGGAATCACTTAGGCTACATAAAATTATAATGAGAACATTATAATTGTGTGCTTGGGACATGGATTTTAATGGTGAGACTTTTGTTTTTGTAATCAGGCTCTCAAAAATGATCTAAAGATTTAGATTTATCGACCAATATATCAATTATCAGCTTTCAAAATATAAAGAATTATCGGTTATCGGTATCGGCCAAAATGTTCATATAGGTGCATCCCTAGCTCACTCTCATCCACACCTCCTCTTTCACATCCCCTTTTAGCTTTTCTAAAGCTAGTTGATGCCTTAGTTTTATCATGAAGATTGTCAGTATTGTTCATTGTGATATCAGAAGGTCATTGATTTGATTCCCAGGGAATTTATGTACTGGTAAATTCCATTTGCTTGAATGCACTGTCAAGCTCCTGTCAGGTGCGTTATTTCTATACACCACGACAGAAGAACTAAAAGGACTGCAGTCAGCAGAGCATTTAATCGAAAGAGTGCTGCAATGCCTGTCTGCATTATTTAGTTCTCAGGACTCACTTCCGGTCTCACTCTTTGTAGATGTAGTCTGTTCTGAGTGTGAATCCAAATACCATGTACTTTTCAGATAATTTTTTTCTGATCTGTACTGGCTTCATTTAATTGTGGTTTTTAAAAAGCTGATGGGGTCAGTAAGATTTATTTTACAAATAAATGATGATTTCCATTTCAAATAAATGCTATTCTTTTGAATTTTCTATTCATTAAAGAATCCTGAAAAAAGTATTTGCAGCACATATATATATATACATTATGCAGCACAACTGTTTTCAACATTGATAATATAAAAAAAAAATCTTGAGCAGTAAATCAGTATATTAAAATGATTTCGGAAGGATCATGTGCTACTGACGACTGGAGTAATAATGCTCAAAATTCAGCTTTACTTTCACAAGAATAAATTGCGTTTTGAAATATTATATTACATAAAAATACAATATTGCAGTTTTTAATGTATTCTTGATCAAATAAATGCAGCATTGGTGGACGTCTTACCAAAACATTAAAAAATCGGCAGCACTTTATTTTACAGTCCTGTTCCCTGTGTACATACTATGTACTTGCTTATTATAGTAATTGCAATAACTGGGTAATAACTACATACTAACCCTGAACCTACCCCTAAACCTAAACTTAACCCATGTTGTTACCTTATATTACCCAGTACTTTCTTAGGTAAGTACACGTAAGTGCACATACTGTAAAATAAAGTGCTACCAAAAAATCGATACCGACTTTATACTTTTGAATGGAATAGTTTTTGGAGCTTAAATTTGTAGTTAACATGTAGAAAATGTGTTCAATCCAAAATTTACTCATTGATATATTCATTCCACTTAATTTGTGGTTTATGGTTAATTTGTAATGTTTTCTGTTGGTTTTTCCTTTATCTCTGACAGCTTCCACAGCCCCAACAAGCCCTGCTATCACAGGTACACCTTGTTTCCAACTTCTGCGTTTGCATCACATTTGAATTTTTCTGGAAATGCCCATCTCTCCATTTTTAAATGTGTAAAACAAAGCAAGAGATCCCCTAATATTGCCAGATATGAATAGTTTATGTTCTAACAGTGGTGGTATGTGTATTTTGCAGCCCCCTGTTGCCTTGCCCACCAGCCTGAGCCTGTCAAACCAACAGCAGACGGCGCAGATAACCGTGTCCTACCCGACCCCCCGCTCCAGCCACCAGCAGCAGACCCAACCCCAAAAACAGCGTGTTTTCACCGGGGTCGTCAGCAAGCTACATGACACTTTCGGCTTTGTCGATGAGGATGTCTTCTTTCAGATCAGGTGCTTTATAGTAAATGTGCAGGTTTGAGTTGTGAATCAGTCTTTTAAAGGCTTTGTTTACACTGCAAGTCTTAATGCACAGATCTAATCTTTTGACCATATCCCATTTTTTTGTCTTGCCTGTTTACATTCACTTTAGACATGACTGTTATCCGATATCTGTGTCTACATTAATCCCCGGCCAAAATGAGTCTGCTGGTGTTCGCTTAGCTATGCGACATGGTTGACCCTTGGGTTTTGAATATCCGTGCTTTTATATAGCCAATATAATTTATTTACAATTCATGACAGGTGGTACCATGACTACTTGCTGTTATGTTTGTAGCACAAATTTGACTGAATGGATATAAATTGGAAGATATTCGTTTGTTATTTTTTAATCTACGCTTCGTTAGATCTAGAATTCTAGAGTAAAATAAAGTAGTCTGGTAAGATTTTTTTGAATGAATTCGAATGAATTAGCAAGAGAGAGAATTACCTGTGTCTGTAGGGTCTCAATGCAATGGTGAAGCTGTGAGTTTATACAAAAACAGCAAAGTTATCACTTCGTTGCTGAGAAATGTAATGTAGCTTTCCGTTGCAAAGCTGTTTTATTTATAAAATTCACAGGGCAGAGGATGAGAACCGGTTTCAATGCTCTTGGATGTTTCTATATTAATATATATATAAAGTTTCCACCTTAATAAAAAAAAAGCTGTGCGAGCGCATACAGGCATGTCTGCTTCATTATATGACATTAAAAATCTATCTTTCTGGCCAAACGTGTCGGATATATACGTGTTAAGACGTAGTCCAGATATCGGATATGTATCTGATTTAAAACTAAACAAAAAATGGATCTCTTGTGGATTTTTGCGTTTACACACGTGCAACAAATTCCGAACTGTGTCAGATGTCAGTAAAAAATCGGATCTTTTGTGCCAGTGTAAACGCAGCCTAAAGGTCAGGTGTGTAATTTCTCTGTGTGTTTTTGTAGTGCTGTTAAGGGGAAAACACCCCAAGTTGGTGATCGTGTTCTGGTGGAAGCGGTCTACAATCCCAACATGCCTTTCAAATGGAATGCCCAGCGCATTCAAACTTTACCTCAGCTGCACAACCAAACGGTAAGCAAACCCACGTGGTCCGAATGGATCCCTGGCAGATACAATCTGATATGGTTCTGCGTCCACAGTCATGATGTCATGATGCTGCTGTTGATTCCTGTGTTCTCAATCTCCATGTAGCACCAGCCGCCTCAGCCCTTACCTCAGGTTTCCCCACAGCTGTCCAGCTTTTACTCTGATGCAGGAATGCCACGCTACTCTGACATGCATTCTGCGGTGGATTCAAGACAAAATGTAACCCACGCCACTTGACCCCTGTGCCCCAAATCCCCATTCTGTCATCTTCCTCCCCTCTATCTTCTGCTTGATCTGCTCCTCCACTCTCCTGTTTCACAAACAGGCTTTAGTCACATGTCCTTGGGTTTCCTTTCTTCCGCCCAAGATGAGTCCCTATTGCTGCTTTTTCACCCTTCCCTGTATTACAGCTCACAGCTACTCTCAAACTGTTGGATTTGTAATTTAAAAAAATGATCTTAAACAATTTTGTATTCATGGGGGGATGCTGTAGTAGATGCTGCTTTTAGTGTAATTTTTTCAGTTACCCAAACTAATTATTAAATATTTTTATTTATTTATTTTTTACATTTTTCCGTTCCCCCCCTTTAAATCTCATACTGAGTTTCTTACCAAAATATCAGTTGTACAAATACCAGACAGTGAAATTTTGCATTTTATAATGATCAACACTCCTTACCCTAATTTATCTAATTACAAAACAAAATATATTTAAATGTTAATAAATTTAATTAAAATAATGGCATGCAAATATTTATCAAACAAACACTGTTTATAAAATAAAAAACAAAGAAAGTCTGGTATTGTTACTAGGGCTGACTTCTAATAGTCGAGGATTCGACGATTCGATTCGGAGAGGTCTGATTCGACTATGAACCTCATAGTCGAATAGTAGGCACGTGTTATGAGGGGTGTGACGTTATTATATAACCGTGAGACCGACGGTTATAGTTGAACACCGTCATTAGAACTCTATAACCGCCAAAACCGTGCTATTAAAATATTTTTTACAAACATTTTTTATCATAGAGAATGTTTAAATAATACTAATATAATCTTACGAGGGAAACGGAGGCGGAGTTAGTGCCAGTGGTGCGATCGGACTCGGAGGCTGCCCTTCTTATACTGTCTATGGAGGCTGCTACTGCTGGTGCACCTTTACCGATAAGAGCGCGCGCTGACACGGAGTAAAGCCAAACATTTTCTCTGGTAAAGCCTTGTTTATACTCGACGCGTCCGCACGAGCGCGAAGGTGCGGACGGCAAAAAAATGACGCCTTGGGTGCGCAAGACCGGCAAGACCCCATTTCGATTGGCTGTGTGCACGGCTTTTTTTGTAACAGCGCGCGCGACGCCACATCCGAGGATGAACGACTTCAAGCCGAATCAGCATGTAGGCTACGTCTCACCGCACCGGCACGCAGTTTGCGCGTCTAAATTGCAAAGTTTATTGCAAAGTTTTTTTGTTAAGGTTTTGTTTACTGTGTGTGATTTATTTAAAACAAAGCACGTTCATTGCAACGTTTTTTGTGTGTTAAGGATTCATTTAATGGAAAGCACATTCACTTCTAGTTGTCTTGCGGTTCATTTTAAATAAACGTAGAGTGAGTTGTCCTATAACAGACGAACAGTTATTCAACCGAACGTCTAGCTGCTATCTAAAAAAAAAAAAAAAAAAGGTCGACTGTCAGTCGACTACGGCAAAATCTAACGAATCAGATTCGACTATGAAAATCCTTAGTCGAAAACAGCCCTAATTGTTACTACTGGTATTATTTATTTATTTTTAAACATGGTCATGAATTACCTGTACTTTTGATATCTCTACCTGGACACAAACGTCACACTGAGCTGGTGCATGATATTAAAGCAAATGCAGATTCCTGTCTGTTTTGTTTTATGTAACTAACAATAATTTTGAGACTCTTTTGAAATGCCCAGAATGCTTGCCTTGCATTTTCTCTTGAAAGACATTTTTTTTTTTTTTTTTTCAACAGGGGCCAAAAGTGTTAAATGGTAACAGCAGTGCTTCTACTTCCTCAGTCTCCAGCTATTTCTAACCATTTATTTTCTTTTTACTGGGTTTAGTGCTTCTTACTCATTTAGGCTCCTTTTCCTCTCATCCTTTAAAACAGGTTATCTAAACTTTATATTGGAGATGGATTTATGTTATTTTTTTAAAGGCTTGTTTTATAGCCCTGAGTTTAAAGCTGTCATGAACATTTTGATGTTTTTTGATGAATTCATATACAGTAATATGTTTGTTTTTGTTTTTATAGATGTTGATTTGTTGTCTGAACTAGAGCTAGTCGATTTATTTAATCTTAATAAATAAGTAAATGTAATTCATTTCCACAAAAACAATTTGGTTGGTCAGTTTGGTTGAAATGTACTACCTTAAATTATATACATCTGTGGACAGATTTTTTAGGTCAAAATTTCATTAAGGTTGGAAAATAGAGATATAGATTTAACTGTATCGCCCAGCTCTAGTTAGGGATGCACGATGATATCGGGACAACATCAGTATCGGCCGATAAAAGCTTAAAATGACCATCATCGGCATAGGCCGATATGAATATTTCTGCCGATGAGCCTTGCCGATAGGGTGGCGTGTTTCCTATGCGCACGTGACGACCGTGAACGACCGTGAACGAAGCATGAGCGCCAGCAACTTAAACGTCCAACTAGGGGTGTGTGTCTCACGCGGTTTTTGATCGTGGACGATTAAAATGTCTCCACGATCTGCTTTTGAAGAAAAATCATAGTATTGTGCATTCTATCAGTTCAATTCTGGCGCCTTCATCTCAACATATTGTACAACGCGACGTACATTCACATCACATCACATCACATGTAAACGCAGAGGCAGAGTTACACTCACGGGACACTGCAATTCACAAAAGTTCATTATTTACATGTGCGTCAAAGTCTTGCTAGTTAAACATGTCATTCGCGTGCTGATGCGCTGTTCTAACATCCGCTTTTCTGAGCGCGTTACACCCGTCGCTCACAGGAACTAAAAGCCTGTCACAGCGCCTGCATACTGGACTAATCTTTCGAGTCTTATTGCGCTGATACTGTCAAATACACACAAGGTTTACATAAACAAAGTTGATTATGTCTTAAGTGAAAGCAAACAGAGAAAATCTGCTTGTCAAATGCGTGTATATTAGACGCGTCGCGTGCAGTTCTTAAAGAGACAGTAATAATATGCTGCCGCTTGTCCTTAAAGAGATACTGCACCCAGAAATAAAAATTCTGTCATTATTTACTCACTCTAATGTTGTTCCAAACCTGTATTCATTTCTTTCTTGTGCTTAAATATACTATGGAAGTCACTGGAGTACAGCAACTGTTTGGTTAGCCACATTCTTCCAAATAACTTTTATTTTCAAAAGAAGAAAGGAACTTGAGAGAGTAAATGATGACAATTAAAATGTTTGGGAGAACTATCCCTTTAATGTTAATAAAACAACAGAACACAGAGGAAATCACTCACTGCTCTTGACTGAGAACTTTAATAGAAGCTTTAATAAGCTTTTTTTTGCACTTAAAAAAAATACAAATATATCGGTATCGACATCGGGCAAAATTAGTTTGAAAATATCGGCATAACGAATATCGGCCAAAATCCAATATCGTGCATCCTTAGCTCTAGTCAAGCATTAGTTCATTAAAATGATATTGGGATTTTTCTGCTCTATAATCTTGATGGTTATACATACTAGCAAACCCATCTCTTTTGCTCCGTCTCTTCTTCTCAGAGCCAGCCGCCGAACATGATGAAACCAGGTCCCACCATGATGCAGTCTCTACCCCCGCCCACCACATTCAGCGTCCCGGCCCAGGGACCTCCTCCGTCTCTTCTGCAGGCCCAGCTCTCAGCTGCCTCTCTGGCCCCACTGCTGCAGAACCCACCACAGCCACTGCTTCCCCAGCCACCACCTAAAGGTACATCAACCCCCTCGACCTTTTGCAGAGTCACGCTTTTACAGAGTCAAATCTGATCTCCCATTTCTCTGTTTTTCCTGTGTGTAGACTCTGTGTTCTCAGGGGGTTTGCTGCAGCCCCCGGTGCGGATGATGCCCCAGCCACAACAAATGAGGCGGGTGGACCCCTCACCCCGCTTCCCCAGCCGCAATGACCGTCCAGAACTCATCCTGAGGAAGGACGACCGCAGGTCAGACCTCAAACTTACAACTGAGAGTTAGGCTGGCTGCGGTAGCTGACAAATATCTAATCTTGTAAAATGTGCAGACAGTACCACCGCTCCCTATACAGAGAACAAGTGATCACAAATTCAATAACACCACCCCTCACCTTGCCCGGAATTATCTGTAATACCGGTTTTGTCAATTCACTGGTGTGAAAATTTCCTCACTGTTACATCCCTACTGAGATTAGATTAGCTTTTTCTGGGGTGCAACCAAAAAAAATATTGGATATTGTAAAAAATGTTTTGCTCTACATGCTCATTCTTTATTTTCCCTCTGTTTGTGTAGTCGGGAAAGAGATAGAGAGCGAAGAAGATCAAGAGAACGTTCACCCACAAGGAAACGTTCGAGAGACCGGTCTCCTCGCAGAGAACGTTCTCCAAGACGGCCACGGAGAGTCGTCCCAAGATATACTGTGCAGTTCTCCAAATTCTCTCTTGATGGGTAAGTTAATTGTTTTAGAGGAATTATCTTGACAGATATCTTGAGTTGCAAATTAGGTACAATTTATTTTATTGTTTTGTTTTGTTAACTCAAATTCAGTTCAGACATGGGAGAACATGACATTTCTCTACAGGTCCTGGCAATAATTCAACATTAATGTTACCAACATGTAAAAAATATATAGAAAGGTCATTTTTTTGTACCAAATATCAGCAATTTAGGTTATGTAGTACAAAGACAATAATCCAACAGATAAGGCAGCGGTTGGGAACCTGTGACTCACGAGCCAAACCTGGCTGTTTGACAAAAATCATGTTGTTCGCTAGGTCACTCTTAACCAACAAATGATCAATAAAAAAATCTGCTTTTCAGTAAAAGCAGCCAATTACAATTCCTTCGTTGTACAGCCTACCGAAGTTAATGAAAAATAATGATATATTTCAAGTTGTTTCGGCCAAAGTGCATGTTCAGTGCCGTTCAACGGCACACCACTTATGTTTATGGTAACCTAGAGCTCCTGCATTCAGATTCAAGCAGCTACGTAGCTTGTTTGTGGTAATTGCGAAAAGAAAGATTTTTAGAACAGCAGCAAAAAAAAAGTATAAGTAAAATTGAATGTGTTTTGCATGGACACTAAACTTTCATTCAGAGCACAACAGAATGAAACAAAATAGGGAAGGTCTTGAGACATTCTTTTAGAAGTTAACTACTTTATGTGACATGTTTTTTTACAGAAGTAACAAAAATAGCAAAAAAGTCCATCTTTAAGATAATCAGTCTGAAGGGTGCAGAAACACAGGGGTGGTTATGGGAAGCGGGCATTGGGAGTGGTTTTTAAAGTGGTGCAGTCTTTCTTTTTCTTCCAGTTTCAGCTCTCTAGTCTGTATGCCAGCAGCCATATCACCCTGTAGCCCAAGACTGGTTGCCCACTGAAGCTAAGCAGGGCTGAGCCTGGTTAGTACCTGGATGGGAGACCTTCTGAGAAAACCAGGTTGCTGCTGGAAGAGGTGTTAGTGAGGCCAGCAGGGGGCGCTCACCCTGTGGTCTGTGTGGGTCCTAACGCCCCAGTATAGTGACGGGGACACTATACTGTCAAAGAGCACCGTCCTTTGGATGAGACGTTAAACCGAGGTCCTGACTCTCTGTGGTCATTAAAAATCCCAGGATGTCTTTCGAAAGAGTAGGGGTGTAACCCCGGCATCCTGGCCAAATTTGCCCAGTGGCCTCTGTCCATCATGGCCTCCTAATAATCCCCATATATATATATATATACACTGATTGGCTTCATCACTCTGTCTCCTCTCCACCAGTAAGCTGGTGTGTGGTGAGCGTTCTGGCGCGCACTATGGCTGCCGTCGCATCATCCAAGTGGATGCTGCACATTGGTGGTGGTTGAGGAGATTCCCCCTTCCATGTGAAGCGCTTTGAGTGCCTAGAAAAGCGCTATATAAATGTAATGAATTATTATTATTATTATTATTTAAGTTTTAGATGAGTTGTTCAGATGAATGTTTAAGTATGTAAGTGTATGTCTGGTATATGACTGCCTGTTTCTGTTCTCTGCAGTTTCAACTGTGATGTGATGGAGCTACGGCGGAGGTATCAGAGCCTCTACATCCCCAGTGACTTTTTTGATGCTGTGTTTACCTGGGTGGATGCCTTCCCGTTAACACGACCTTTCAACTTTGGAAACTACTGTAACTTTCACATCATGCATAAAGAGGTGGACTCTCTTGTGAAAAACACGGCCGTGCTGGACCCACCTGATGCCAATCACACCTACAGCGCAAAGGTAAGGCATCTTTTATTTAAAGGGGACCTATTATGCCCCTTTTCACAAGATGTAAAATAAGTCTCTGATGTCCCCAGAGTGTGTATGTGAAGTTTTAGCTCAGAATACCCCACAGATAATTTTTTACAGCATGTTTAAATCGTCACTTTTTGGGGCTGAGAAAAACGCACCGTTTTAGTGTCTCCTTTAAATGCTAATGAGCTGCTGGTTCACAGCACAGGGGGCGGAGCCTAACCAGCTCGTGCTCAGTGAACAATCTCGACTCACGGAAAGATAATATCAAAACAGAAACTCACAGTAACGGTGTTCATTTCGACTCGGACAATAATGCCTACAGAATCAGAGAATATATGATGTATGGAGTTGGAACAGGTATAGTTTAGTTTAATTATGGTTATAACCTATGTGTCATTGATTGTAGACACTATTGATACAAGCCTGCTGTAGGACCATGTCTGAATGATGACACAAAATATACTGATGAGTTTAATAAAGTTTATTGTATGTCACACAAAAGAATAAGCGTCAGTTTTACTCCAGAAAATCACTGTAAGAGCTGAGTAAACAGTATAAGAAGTGCGTAGGTACATAAACAAATTTCGGTAGAGTTGAGGGAGCATTTTTCAAAGACAAAATGAACCCACCTCGTCTTCAGCGGGTGGCTCAGATTTCAGGAGTAAATAGAGAGAGCTATGTGAATGAATACATCCAGCCACAACACCTTCAACGCTTGGGAGACATTCTCATTAGTGCAGCAATGGTGGATGTGTACAACTTGCTGTGAACTCGATCAGGGCGGGTCTAAGTTAAAACGGCAGTGTCTGTCAACACTCGTGGGCGGGGCCTGTAGCTTTAGTGACGTCACTAAAGCCGCATTCTGAAAACAGGTCGTTGGGAGACACTGCTTATGATTTATGGGGATTTAAAAAAAAGGAGTGAGTGGATTTTTATCACTGTAGGGTGGTTGTGTACACACACTGCCAACACACATTTATGTCCAAACACCTTACAAAAGTGAATTTTGCATAATAGGTCCCCTTTAATAATTGAAAACTTTTTTCCAGGTTTGATTCAGTGGTTTTTGACCGTCATGATTAATATTGATGTTATAGGTGATGCTGTTGGCCAACCCTAGTCTAGATGAGCTGTATCATAAGTCCTGTGCTCTGGCAGAAGATCCTCAAGAGCTGAGAGACACCTTCCAGCACCCTGCCCGGCTCATCAAGGTATTACATTACTAACTGCAACAAACGAACTAGGTTTGTGTAATCAGCTTGCATTATGTAATCGCTTACTTATGTGCTATTTATTGTCAATTATTTTGCACTTATACTGTAGTATTTCACAGGGATGGACATCATTACAGTGTCGGGGACTGTAGCTTTTCTAATACTGCAAATCATGTAATTTATTCACTTTATGTCTTTTATGTCTGTATCTGTAGTAAACAAACTCCATCGCACACCTGCAGGTGATAGGTGCGTCGGATAATAGGACCAAACAAGTTAGTCGTGAAAGCAGATAAGGAACTCCCGCACACTATCGTAACTTGCGATTTAAAATGAATGTTTATTAACACACAACGTTTCGGTCACACGACCTTCATCAGGAGTGGTATGTCTGTATCTGTACCAGAAATCATCATCTAGCCTCTTGCAAAAACCGATAAATCAAATATCTATTGATCATAATAGGTTATGAATGTTAACTGTACAGTTTATACTGATAGTTTATATTGATAAAGAACAGTGATCAAGAGTGCCAGAAGATACTACTCTTCTTACCAGTTAATGAGCAACATCTACATTTCCTATCATTTGGAGCAGATTGATAATGATAAAATGCATAGTGTAATAATTTCAATATAGCATATTTCTTTGCAAATAAAGGATCTTAAAGTGCTGCACAAAAGAGAAGGGAAACTAAGACTGATGATAGGTCTGCTGGTCCATAATGACGCACATGTCAAACGTGTTGTCATAATACTAAAATTTGTGTAGTTTCAGTACCTATTTTTAATACCACTGCAAAAGCTCCTTTTACCAATTTTAACACCCCTTTTATCACTTACCAATTTAACTATTTTAAAGTTACATTTTAATGCTAATTCTTTCTTATATAATAATTTATTATATAATTTATAATTATAAGTATAAATAAATTATAGATAAAAACAATGATATGTATTATTTAGTATTTATACATTCTTGAAAAAAAGTTTTTCAGTATCAGTAACAATAAAGGGCCACAGACTGCATACACTACTCTTCAAAGGTTTTGAGTCGGTAAGATTTTTAAGGAAGTCTCATATGCTCACCAAGGCTGCATTTATTTGATCTTTCTGTTTTAATATATTTTTAAATATTATGTATTCCTGTGATGGCATAGCTAAATTTTCAGCAGACAGCAGCTGTTAGTCCAGTCTTCAGTGTCACGTAAGATCATTCTAATATACTGATTTGCTGTATCGACGTTCAAAACAGTTGTGCCGTAATATTTTGGAAACCATGATACATTTTTTAGGGTTCAAAAGAGCAGCATTTATTTGACATATAAATCTTTTGTAACATAAATGTCTTTACTGGCAACCTTGCTGTATAAAATAAATAAAAATTAAAAATAAAATAAAAATTCTTACTGAGCCCAGATTTTCAAACATTAGTGTGTATACCATCATTTACTGACCTCTGAGCTCATGTTAGCTCTGTCTGAAATGTTTTCTAAATGTCAAATGGGATTTTTACTTACAGAATCTTGCTATTGCAATCGATTAAATTTCATGTGCACTGAAACTAGTTTTCTTGTTCCCCTGGACGCTGAAAGATGTTTGTCCATTCCTGTGTTTGATGTTGGGTGTTTCAAATGGTGTTGGGGAGCTGACTGTGATGTCTCTGTCCTATTCCATTGCTGAATGCTTTGCTGTGTGGAATAAGCGTATCTGATGTTGTCTCTCCCTGTGTCCGCCACAAGCGCCTCCTTCAGAGCGCTCAGCATCTTCCCAGTTTTGCGTAACCCATTTGAACTCCTCTATTTTCAGTTCCTGGTGGGGATGCGGGGCAAGGATGAGGCCATGGCCATCGGGGGTCATTGGTCTCCCTCTTTGGACGGGGCTGACCCGGAAAACGATGCCTCTGTCCTTATAAAGACAGCCATTCGTTGTTGTAAGGCTCTGACAGGCATTGATCTGAGTTTATGTACCCAGTGGTAAGTACAGCTCCTTTCTCGATTTGTGCCGACGCATCTCCATGTGTGCATCTTTAATATAAAAAAAAATGCCCAGCAGACAACATCCAAAAGTCTGTGACACGCTGCATGGTTTTGATACAGCAGTGTATCTCCTGACATGTTTGATGCTTTTGTGATCATTGCTTTTGCAATGTTTATGCTAATGTGTGTGGCAGTCCTGCCTCTATATCTATATATGTGGTGAATGCATTGATTCTTTTGCTCCGAGAGCAGAGCCAGAGGAGTCGTCGCCGCCATCGTTACTTTCTGTTCTCTCTGACCTTTGCCTTGTGTTAAATATCTTACATATTTAACTTGCTTTCACTGTGTCTGAATCTGTCCTTCTCTCACACCCCCGGGGGTTCATAAGCTATCCTTCACGAGCAACCGGTTCAGATTCACGGGTGCCGATGGGAGGGGCCTGTCGCAAGGGAGGAGGGGTCATTGTAGTTTTTGTTTAGCTGTCGATATTGTCTGTCGACCTCCCTGATGCGTGGCTGCCGTTCATCTTGAGAAACCCCCCCGTGGAGTTCCGCAGATTGTATTTTTCTAATGCGTCTCATTCGGGGGGTCAAGGGGATCGCAGCTTTCTTTGTGTGTGTGTGTGTTGGGGGAAAATGGGTAATGTCTCACAGAATGTTTCTTTCCAACGCGCTTCTTCCTTTGCGACAGGTATCGTTTTGCAGAGATACGCTATCACCGCCCTGAGGAGACTCACAAAGGGCGGACAGTCCCCGCACATGTGGAGACAGTGGTTTTATTTCTCCCGGATGTTTGGCATTGTCTTCCTACCCGCTCAGAGTGGGAGGGGCTGTCCCGTGGACTCAAGGAGCAGCTGGCAGAGAAACTCTTGGCTGAACGGAAGGAGGCTGATGGAGAACAGGCACTGAACGCTAATCCCTCTCTTCTCATTTCCGCTTCTCACAGGCACAGGAATAGACAAACAAAACACTCAGAAAACACAGAAAGAAACAGACAAGTATCACAGGCATCATACAGATCCCACTTTTACCATCCCTTCCTCTCATCCCTGTCTCATCCCTGACCCTCCACCCCATTTCCTCCTGCTCTCCCTCTGTCACGCAGTCTCACACACAGCGGAAGAGCTTAGATTCTACTTTATGACACCTGCATCAACTGGTAAAACAGCTTCCAGCTCTGCCGATTACACGATTGATGGCCTGATTGACATGACTCTAAATTTCCAACGAACTTACAACAAATTTGATTTGAAATTTAATACATTAATCAATGAGAACAATTGAGAAATGAATGCTGGAATCTGGAGAGCCAGTTGTGTTTATGATGTTTGTGTGTTTTTTAGATTGTTTTGTTTCCTGTTCGAAATTCGATATCTGCCGAACTCTCTGAGTTCTGTCTCTTGTCTGTCTCTCTTTTAATTTTATTTACACTTTTCTCTGATTGGACTGTGTCTAGACCCTTTGTGGATGTGATTTTTCCAGGGAGATTGTTTACCCGAGGACAGTTCTGGTTAGGTGTTAAAGAAAACAAGCTAAAAAGAGTATATATGGGCCAAAAAAACAGCAATTAACGTAGACAGGGTTTGGAGACCTCTGAGTGCATCTGTCCCATGTCCATCTCTCAAACCCACTGTCATTGATTATCTTTTTGTATTCCACAGAACTGGCATTGATTGGCTGATGAGTGGGATATGGATCTGTTTCTGAAAGCTATAGAGCTTCCTAGCAGTGGAAATTTTTTTTTTACCCAATCAAGAGCTCAGTAGCAGGAGACAATGAGAGACAGTTGTGACCTTGCTTCTTGCACGGATCAACCTTTGTTTCAGAAAACTCCTTTGTCCAAGAGTGGTGTGTTAACACACTGTTGTCTTTTCTCTCTCCCTCTCTCTTTCACATAACCTGGATAGGAGGAGGAGGATAAGGATGAAGATGATTCAAAAGAAGTCACTACGCCAACTCACTGGACGAAGCTTGATCCGAAATCCATGAAGGTGAGATTTTCCACAAGCAGCTTATCTGCTACAGACCAAACTTTTTATCGTCTTGTCATCTTGTACATCTATATTCTCTATATTACATTTCATGGGGTCTTTATGTCCTTTATAGACAGACACCATAAAACATTCTTTCTAAATTTAGGCAGAAAGGCTTGTCCTTTTATAAAATAACCAATAGTTTTTAGTTTAGTCACAGTTCCGCAAAAGTAATTGTTGTGGACATTTTATGGTTGAGCATTTTATTGGACAAAAATATACACCCCTAAAAAATATACAGTACCTTTTGAACATTTTATAAATTAGTACTTTATTGGCGAACAAGGATGCATTAAATTAATCAAAAGTGACAGTGAAGGCATTTATAATGTTGCAAAAGATTTCGATTTCTTTTGAACTTTCTATTCATAAAAGGATCCTAAAAAAACGTATCATGGTTTCCACAAAATAATGGATAATAATAACACAGCATTGATAATAGTAATAATTTTCTTGAGCAGCAAATCAGCATATTAGAATGATTTCTTGAAGGATCATGTGACATTGAAGATGCTGAAATGATGCCGAAAAGTCGTTTTTTGCCATTAAAGGAATAAATGAAATTTTAAATTGTCTTTCAAATTTAAATGAATATTTAAAACACTTATTTAAAATTGTAATACAATTTCTAAATATTACTGTTTTTACTGTATTTTTTATCAAATAAATGCAGCCTTGGTGAGTACAAAAGAAAACATTAAAAAAAATCTTAGCGACCTCAACTTTGAATGGTAGTGTATTTGATATAAACTTAGAAAATTTGATATTTGATGATGAAACTTAAATGCACACAGGTCAATGACTTGCGTAAGGAGTTGGAGAGCCGTACACTGAGCTCTAAAGGGCTGAAGTCACAGCTGATTGCTCGCCTCACTAAACAGCTGAAGGTGGAGGAGCAGGTGGAGGAGTCCAAGGAGCCGGAGAAACCTGAACCTCCTATCGTGGAGGAGAATGAGCCCTGCAGACTGGAGGATGACCGAGAGGTGAGAGAAGACCAGAGGATACTGCTCTTATTGAGAGCCTGTCTAAATCAATCGCATGTAAACATGGAAAAAAAATGATTTTCAGGAAGAGGAGCGAAAGCGACAGGAGGAGCAGGAACGTCAGCGCAGGGAGAGACGTTATGTTCTGCCAGATGAGCCCACCATTATCGTCCACCCCAACTGGGCTGCCAAGAATGGCAAATTTGACTGCAGCATCATGTCCTTAAGTGTGCTGCTGGACTACAGACTGGAGGATAACAAAGAGCACTCCTTTGAGGTGAGGATCACTGCGTAGTTGCTGCATATTAATGGTTTGAAAGAATTATTACCTATAAACTACAAACAGGTTTTAGGATATTTCGCTAGACTTCACCTCATATAATTACAATATTCTGCTTTCAGCTATACTTTTGTAAATCAGTGAAAGGCGGCACGTAACCTTCAGAAAATATTCATCCACAATTAAAACTACACTAAAACAAAAAAATTGTAACTTAAAACAAAATAAACAGTTCCCAAGGCAGTTTTTTCTCATTGCCATTTAGTTTAACTTGATGTACTAAAACTGCAAAATAAAAAAAATAAAAAACTGCAAAATGATTAAAATATTAACTAAAACAGTGGAAATGTAAAATATAAAAAAATTATAATAGAATGTCAATGATACTAAAAATAAATAATTGGCATCTGTTTCAGGTGTCTTTGTTTGCTGAATTGTTCAACGAGATGCTTCAACGAGACTTCGGCTATAGGATTTACAAAGCATTCGCTTCTCTTCCTAGCAAGGATGAGAGGAAAGATAAAAAAGAGAAAGCTAAAAAAGAGGCAGAACGGAGGGATGTAAAGAAGGAGAAGGATGAAGAAAATGGAGAGCCAGTCACAAAGAGAATGAGAGAGGAGGATGAGAAGAGGAAGGTGGGTTCCAACGACCATGATTTTCTTTTTTTTTTAAGCAGTTTCCTGGAAGAGTTGTGTAAATTTATTAAGATCTTACAGGTGCTATATGTATTTTTTAGCAGCCTCTATCGGTGATGTTTTAGATTGCAACCAATTTTTACAATAGCGCTCGTGGCGTGCTCTTGCGTGTCCTACGTTGCGGCCACACTGAGACTTTCAACACACCGGAGAAAGCATCACACAACATGCTGGAAACTCATGTAAACTCCCACTGCAACGTTACAATAATAGGCTACTTTTATCAGCTTGACGTTGAACTAATGCTCCATGCTCGTACCATGATAACGTTACATTGACTGCATTTAGCCGACATGTGGTGTTATCTAGCATGAGCCATTTCACTAACTATACGTGTATCTTTCACAATCAGCAATGTCAACATAGGTGAATGTATAATATGATAACGAAAACGGTTAGTGAACTAGACTGAACAATTTCAGTGTAACAGTAAGATCATAGGAAGTAACATTACTGTACTGAACGTGTCTGGAAAAGTGTATAAACAATATGATAGTAGTGGGATGAGTGACGTTCGACAGTAGATCTTCTAGTACATAAAATAAAAGTTACATCCTAAAGCACCTACTTTTTGTTATCCTGGAACAGTCTTTTGTATTCATTTCATGTCTCATGTATGTTGTAGTTTACCTTGCTATTTCATTACAGTTTACCATTATTTATTTCAGCATATCTGAAAACTTGTAATTTATCACAATAAAAATAGCGGAGGTCTCTCTATAATTCAAACGGTCTGATCCGTGTTTTCGTCCTAAGTCGATCCGATTCACGTTTGGCCTGACGAGTTTCAGCAGATACATTTTTGTTTTGTTTTTTATATTTATGTGGAGTTTGTGTTGGAGTCTGTGTTGTGCTGGAGGCAGGTCGTTTTTGGGTCGTTCACATAGAAATAGGAATACTGGCCTTCAGAGGTAATAGCAAAACCCGACAAGTAGATCATTGTAATGTGGGATTACAACCCCTTCACACACAGGCAATAAAAAAAGCATTCATTTTAGAAGAAAAGTTACATATAGCACCTTTAAGAAGTAATAAAAATGTCTGTAGTGGATATTGATCAGTGATTGCGTGATTGCTCAGCATTGAGCCAGTTACACTTGGCTCCAAAAGTTCTTTTATCACCTAGATTTTTTTTTTTCATAACATTTTTTTTGAGCATCATGGACAACTGGAAAAGACATGGAAAAATTCACACAGAGTTGTCAGTGTGGGGACCCTGTTTGGATTGATTCTGGGATTCATTCAGATGTCCCTTAAATGCTTTGGCGTTGTGATTTGTTCAAATGAATTGCATTTTCAAGCATGTTTTTATATGAATACAACATTAAGCCCCTCAATTTGTGTCTCCCTGGTAAAGGATGAGGAGAAAGAGAGAGGTATTAAGAGAGAAGAATCCAAAGATGATGATGATAATGAAGATGGCAGCAGCAACAACAACGCTGATGAATATGACCCCTTGGAGGCAGAAGAAGCAGATGACTATGATGACGATGGTAAAGGTCACACGGTTTCATAAGCAAATGCACCTGGATCCTCAAACACACTTTTGATCGTGAATTGCATTGATCTGTTTTAACATTAAGCAAAATCAAAGTGACATGAAAATATTCATATGCTAAACTAATCCTTTGTGCTCCTCAGATAAAGATGACGAAGACTCCAATGGCAGGGACAGAAGAGACGATCGTCGGGATGACCGAAAATCCAAAGAGAGATCATCTAAAGATAAAGTGAGTTAACAACAGATCTCCTTTTACAGCACAAAGTATTTCTAATAGTGAGAGTGGTATGCTTTAATATTTCATTCTGTCTGTAGGATGAGAAGAAAAAGCAGATGGTGACGTTTAACAAGGATCTGCTGATGGCCTTTGTGTACTTCGACCAGAGTCACTGCGGCTACCTGCAGGAGAAGGACCTGGAGGAGATCATGTACACACTGGGCTTGCATCTCTCCAGAGCTCAGGTGCAGTATTTCACATTTAGGTTTGAGGAGGAACTTTGGAAAGTTTGTAAAGTTCCACTTCCAAGTTTTGGAACTTTGGAAAGTTCCAGTTATTAACTCATTATAATGCTTATATATTTCTTAAAATCTGCCCAACTTGCTCATTCATTTCCCTGGGGAAAATGAAGAGAAATATTGAGTGGATTTGAATGTTTTCATTGGAAAAACTGAATTTTTTCAGATTCCATGCGTATCTTATCTAAATTGCTTGTATTAACAGCAGTCTTCTTTTAGCTTTTTTAAATTCAATTCATATTGGATAATAATAATAGTAGGGGTGTGACGGTTATTATATAACCGTGAGACCGACGGTTATAGTTGAACACCGTCATTAGAACTCTATAACCGTGCTATTAATTTTTACAAACATTTTTTTATCATATAGAATGTTTAAATACTAATATCAGCCTAAGAGGGAAACGGAGGCTGCTACTGCTGGAGATGATTCGGGAGAGGTCTGTGCACCTTTAAGCCTTGTTTATACTCGACGCGTCCGCAAGAGCGCGAGTCTCCGCTGACTGCGCGCGGACCTCTCCAAACGGACGAGGCGTTTATACTTGACGCGCTCGCCGTTGTGCTATTCTGTGAAACGACAGGGGGCGACTCGGAGTAATTCTCTTCTAAACCACCAGGAATCAGCAGTGAAGAAGTAGTTTGCCGTTTAGTTTATTAATTGCTGATTCATATAAAAAGAGTATTAAATGCAGTAGGTTTATTGTACTTTCACTGCATGTAAACTAAACAACTGAAGCCTTATTGAAGAGTGTTTAAACCTTAATTTCATCAGCAGGGCTTACTTCTGCTATTGTAGGCTTATTTTGTAAATGTACTGCTAAGCAGTTACTTTAGACAAGTGCAAACTGGGTGCTTAATGCAAATGTGTTCCTATTCACAAAATGAGAGGCTTTTATGGTCGCCCATCAATGCAAATGTCTCTGTATATAGAAGGATCATAAACATGCTGATACAGACGCACCAGTTCGGCCAGATTCGGCTCGAAGTCGTTCATCTTCGGATGCGGCGCCGCGCGCGATGTAAAGCCTTGTTTAAGGCCAATTTATACTTCTGCGTCGGGTGCGCGCAGTAGGTACGGCGTAGCATACGCACAGACGCGTACCATACGCCGTACCCTTCGCCGTAACCTGACGCGCACCTCCTCAAAAATGTAACTACACGACGCGGACCGCAAGATCTGTGATTGGTCGGCTTGGTAGCATCGCGTTTCCTCCTATGCATTTCCGGCGTGTTCTTCTGCACCGCCCGCCATTTTTAAATTCTAAGTACAGCGAAACTGTTAAAAAAAACTAAAAATTTACCTTTTCCACCTCGATAAGCTCCAACTCCAACATGATCTGCTCTCTTTCAGTCGCCATTGCTTGTAGTAACCTAAACTCAAAACAGCCGCCAGGAATCTTCTTCTTCTTGCCGCGAGGAATCTAAACACAGTGGAACATTAAAACCCTCCGCCGCCAACTAGCGTTTCGGCGCTGTACTGCAGAGCAACGCAGACCTAAACGCAGAAGTATAAATGCTCATTACGCCGTCGCCTACGTGCGTAGCCCACGCCGTACACTACGGCGTACACTCGACGCAGAAGTATAAATTGGCCTTTATACTCGACGCGTCCGCAAGAGGGCGAAGGTCCGCGAGGCAAAAATGACGTCATTGCGGTGTGGGCGGTCGTGCGCGTTGGGTGCGCAAGACCCCATTTCGCCTGGCGGTGTGCACGGCACTTTTTGTAACATCGCGCGCGGCGCCGCATCCGAAGATGAACGACTTCGAGCCGAATCTGGCCGAACTGGTACATCTGTACCAGCATGTTTATGATCCTTCTATACACAGAGACATTTGTATTGATGGGCGACCATAAAAGCCTCTCATTTTGTGAATAGGAACACATTTGCATTAAGCACCCAGTTTGCACTTGTCTAAACTGCTTATATTTACAAAATAAGCCTACAATAGCAGAAGTAAGCCCTGCTGATGAAATTAAGGTTTAAACACTCTTCAATAAGGCTTCAGTTGTTTAACTAGTTTACATGCAGTGAAAGTACAATAAACCTACTGCATTTATTACTCTTTTTATATGAATCAGCAATTAATAAACTACTAATAAACGGCAAACTACTTCTTCACTGCTGATTCCTGGTGTTTTAGAGGAGAAATACTCGGAGTCGCCCCCTGTCGTTTCACAGAATAGCACAACGGCGAGCGCGTCAAGTATAAACGCCTCGTCTGTTTGGAGAGGTGCGCGCGCAGTCAGCGGCGACTCGCGCTCGTGCGGACGCGTCGAGTATAAACAAGGCTTTACAAAAAGTGCCGTGCACACCGCCAGGCGAAATGGGGTCTTGCGCACCCAACGCGCACGACCGCCCACACCGCAATGACGTCATTTTTGCCGCGCGCACCTTCGCGCTCTTGCGGACGCGTCGAGTATAAACAAGGCTTTACCGATCAGAGCGCGCGCTGACACGGAGTAAAGCCTTGTTTATACTCGACGCGTCCACACGAGCGCGAAGGTGCGCGCGGCAAAAATGACCCGTTCGGTGCGCAAGACCGGCAAGACCCCATTTGGCTTGGCTGTGTGCACGGCTTTTTTTTGTTACAGCGCACAGCGCGGTGCCGTGTCCGAGGATGACCGACTCAAAGCCGAATCTGCCCGAGCATGTACGTCTCACCACACCGGCACGCAGTTTGCGCGTCTAAATTGCAAAGTTCATTCCAAAGTTTTTTCGTTAAGGTTTTGTTTACTGTGTGATACATTCACTTCTGCTTGTTTATTCAAACTAAGTTGTCCTATAACAGACGAACAGTTATTCAACCCCAACCCCCCCCCTATTGACTCACGTCATAACCGTCATCACCAATTCTGAAACCGGCACACCCCTAAATAATAGTAAATATAATATTCTGAATATATATATATATATATAGATATATACATACATAATATTATATTTACTATTATTATTACCCAATATAAATATATATGAATCTGATATTAATTGCCATTATTATTACAACCACTACAATTTTTTGCTACAGTTATTATTTTTATCATTATGATTATTTTCTTGTTTATTCAATGTAACATTATGTTAGTTCATAATAATAATAATACCATGAATATATTATTTTAACAATAGTAATATTAACTAATTATTGTTTTTAATAGTGTTAATTAATACTAATCTTATTAATTATTATTGTTATTTTGTTTATTCAATGTAACATTTATATTACTTAATAGTAATAATAATAATGTAATAAAACCAATGTATTATTATTTATTATTGTATTGTTTTTAATATTGTTATTAATAATACAAGTAAGTGTTATTAATCATATTGGTAACACTTTACAATAAGGTCTCATTTGTTAACTTTAGTTAATGCATTAACTTGGAACTAACAGTGAGCAACACATTTTTACTGCATTTATTAGTATTTGTTCATTTTACTTTAAAGTGTTCAGGTTCATGTTAGTCCACACACAGTGCATTAATGTTAAATACGATTTTTTGTCTCAAAAATCTATTAGTGCATGTTGAGTTTAGCTGAGATTAATAAATTCTTTAGAAGTATTGTACATGTTAGTTCATTTTAAATAATGTTTACAAATGAAACCTTGTAAAGTGTTATCATATTATTAGTATTATTATTTTCTTATTTATTCAGTTTAACTATTATATTAGTAAGAGATAAAAGAATAAGATATAATGTTGTAAGCAATGATGTTTGTCGCTTGATCCTTTAGTTGCATCCTGCCTGATCAGGACACAATGTGTTACCTTCAATTTCGTATTTGCAAGATATATAGAATATTTATCACCAGACTAATCTGATACTCGGATCTTGTTTGTATTCTTTTTCAGGTGAAGAAATTGTTAAACAAACCATTGGTTAAAGAGTCCTGCCATTATCGCAAGCTGACGGACAGGCCTAAGGATGAGCCTAGCCCCACGTTGACCTCTGATGCTCAAATAGACAACCTTTTAGGTTTGCAAAGAGGATGATGGCTGGAACAGACAAGCTTATTTGTAACACTAGAGCACATATCCATGAGGCTACTTTAGACTGAATCCCTCTGTGTCCACCCACAGGTAACCAAATCTTGCTGCCCGGTCAGAAGGTCAAGCGAGAATCGGAGGAGAGTGGTGGGTCAGGAAGCCTGATCGACTACAAGGGAGCCATGGTGGACGTGGGAAGCATGATGCAAAAGCTGGAGAAGAGTGAGAAAACCCGAGAGGAAATTGAGCAGAAGCTCATGCAGCAGGACACTAAAATGGGTAACAATCTCACTTGTCTCGTTTTCATTGTGTGTTTGACAAAGTATGTCTGATTGTTATGAAGAGGTGTTGATTTGGTGTCGCTGAGCTTTAGTCAATTAGCCTGGGAAAACCCAGACAACTTCCTGCAAATTTAGATTTGCTCTGAAAGTTAGTCTGGGAAAGAGCTCATTCAAACCCATTTCCAATCCGTCGAGCTCGAGGCACCAATCAGAAACGTTGGGGCGGGCTTTACACGATGACGACAGCGCTGGGATTTTGAAGCAGATTTTGTAGCCTACATTACAAAGATGGATGCCGCCGTCGCACATCACTCTTTCGAATCAGCTATCGCGTCTGTTTTAAGCGATTTGAACGTTTCCCTTTTGTTAAAAACCGAGCAAAGAACAACACTCTGAGATATTTCTCCGCCGCTCTGCATACGTCATCTCCTTCATCGCTCTGATTGGCTTTAGGTCTATCCGCGATGTCCGTTGGTGACGCCCCTCTGGAAATGATTTGTCTATGACGCTTTACCAGACCATAACTGAATGGTCTGGTTTTAACCAGGCTATTAGTCAATATCAAAACAACTCAAATTGTGCTTTTACAATTCATCAGCAGAGCTCAACAATAAGGATTTTTTTTCTTCTGCCCACAAATGGGTTTTTTAATCTTTTTTTTTTTACCATTTTATTTTTTATTTTTTTTATTAGGTTTTCTTTACTTTTTTTCCCCACTAAAATTACTTTTTGTTGCTGTCGGGCGCAAACCTCGTATCCATATTTCGCCATTTAAAACCTCATAACTCCTCTCCTGCTCTATCTTGAATTAATTGCCGCACACATTGTGGACCTCCGCTTGTTTGCAATGCAAGTGTAAACAAAAAACTGGTTTTGAATATGTACAGTGTTTTCTTTACTCAAGAAACACTATATATATATAAACAATGTTTGGGGGAAAATTACTTTTATCAAAATACTTTTTTCAAGTTACTAGTAAAGTAATATCTGTTACATTTAAAATAAATAAATAATGTAAGTTACTTTCTATTCCAATTTATTGACTGACAGCTCTTCTGTCCCCATGTTGAGAGAAATCAGGAGTAAGAGGCAGAGGCGTTGTGTGCGCTGTGAAGACATTGATTATTGTAGTTCTAGACTAAATATGAGCATGCATTTACTCATCTCACTTGCACAAAAACAGATTCAGTATTCCTCAAAATGAATAAAAACAATTAAATGCAAACCTGCAATAATTAAATATGCTAAATAACACAAATATACTTTGTATTTAAACTCACCTTACTAACCAATGTCTTTGCTGCTGACCTCTGAAGATCCAATTCAACCATACGAATACCCTCTACAGGTGTGGATTTGTGTTTTAGGCTTATTCATTTCACTTTTGGTGTGAAAGGGCCTTTACATTTGCCAGAAATATTACAAAGAAAATTATTATTAATTAATCAAGCAAACCCAGCCCCAGGTGAGAAAAAGTAACGCAAAAGTAACATTAGTTACACAATTATTTACTTTTTTAGGGAGTAATGCAGTATTGTAATGCATTACTTTTTAAAAGAAACTTTCCCCAACACTGTATATAAAAGGCTAATGTTTTATGTATTAGAGTAGCGGAGAAGAGTGTCTTAGTCTAGCATTTGTCATTGAGTCATAGCCAAAACTGTCTTAAACAGCCTGTGCGAAGCTAAGCACTTCATCTTTAATAACATGCTATGTTGGCCAAATGACAGATAAAACTAAGCCCCTTTGTAGCTGCAATAAACTTTATAACCTGAAAGTTGTCGCAAAACTGCCTCAGATGCGGCCGTTCTAATGACGGACAGAACACGTATGTTTGAAATTAATTGGACAAAAAAAAACTCTTGATTTTGGTCAAATGTTAATAATATAATGTCATGCAAGTGTCTGACCATATATATAGCCTCAATGTAAACTGACAACAGTGTTATTTGAAAAGTATTGTTTTTGGAGATTCGACCGCGACAATTTTTTTTTCTTTTTTTCAACATTTGGTGGAAATTTATCAGCTATAATTTAATTCCATAAACTGATAAACAATAAAAAATTTTAACCTCAATAACATTACATGTGTTAATCGAAACGTTTTGTTTTGTAGAGGAGGATTCAAAGCACACGTCAGAGCTAGAAGCGGCTAACCGCAGCCTTCAGAGGGAGCTGGACGAAGTGAAGAACAACCTCCGAGAGACCGAGAACAACCTGAGATCATCAGACCAGCAGAAAGGCAGCTTTAAACAGCAGCTCCACAGCACAGTGTCCAGCCTCGACACCATCATGAAGGAGATACAGGGGGTTTTATCAAATGTATGAACCTTTATTTACCGTGGCAAATTTAGTAAATCGAGAGAAGGACCTTTGAAACGGTTCTATATTTTTAAATAAATAATGTGTTTTGTTTTTTTGATGCAGGGCGACCCTTCAGAAGACTGCGAGCAAAAAACTCAAGCTAATGGCTCAGATGAGTGAACTTTCCTCTCCAGCTCATCCACATATGATCTCCCTTCGAATATGTAAATAAGCTTAAAACTAACACAATACTGAAGTTAATTTAAATGTACAAAGTTTTAATGACAGTGGAGGTGATCTCTCCTTTTCCACATAATTCTGTGTTTAAAAATACTTCTTTGACAAGTTAATTTGTTCCGAATCAAATGATTACATTTCACAAGCTCATGTTTAAATAATGTGTTTGAATTATGTATAAGTTTTTGGTTACTTGTTAATCTACTTAAGCTTTTTGGCCTTTTTTTGAACAGTTGCTAGTAATTTTAACATGTTTTGCTTTATCAGCATATTTCCTTGTTGAAATAATGCCTAACTTGTGCCAGTACGTGAATTATTAGCAGAGTTTATTTAGCAATAAAAGTGTTATTTATGTTTAAATCAAAATGCAATTAGGATTTTAATTAGGATCCACAAGGAGCTGCTTTTTGATTCCTTTTCATTGTTCCCATGACAAACAGTGATATGTTTTGTTAAATATATATTTTGTTTAGTTTGGTCTCATCTGCGCATGCATCTAAATTAGCGCGTGCATATCAGTTTAGTTCCTGAATAATATTCTTTCAGACTTATTTGTTTTTATTTGATTTGATCTTGATGCTTCGTTCTATGATCTCTGTGTAATCTTACCAGGGTAGCTTTATGTGAATGGGGCCATGTTCTTTGTTGTTGCAAACGAAACCAAGGCAGTTACCCTGTTAAAGATGCACTGACTGAGGTCCTGTCCATTCTGAGTCCTGGGTACTTTATATCAGAGTGATTGTAATGTGTCAGAATAGTGTGAGTTGGATACTGTGTTTTTCCAATAGTGTGTTATCTGGGATTGTTTGGAAGGCAGTGAATTCTTTAGTTAGTTTTTTATGTTTTTCCTGTTGTTGGCCCACTAAAGAGCAGAATGATTACAGTGGGTGGTTTCTGCTGAGTGGAAATGAGCCCAAAGCAACCAAGCGCATATTATTTTTCTATTCTGGATGTACTTTATGGTTGTCCCAGTAAATGAAAATAAATAAAGTGCTTCATTTTAACATTTCACTCTGTTGAATTTGGGGTTTCTCCGTTTGTTTTGGATTTACATGGGTTTTGGGAACTTTGCAATGCCGTTTTATCCCAGTAGATGTCAACATTTGTTTGATCTGGACTGGAGGAATCGTGCATGCTCTTTTTATGAGGGAAATCTAAAATTATACTTTATTATTATGTACATTGTTTTGATTGTTTTAGTTTGCAGGATGTTTGACTCTGAAAAGGGTGAACTGCTTGTATCAACCTGCAATGAAATCACATAATTGTCATCGGTGCTCCAGAGCTGTTGAGGACAGCTGAGAGGCGAATGAACAACAACGAATTGAAAGGAGATACGGTTTGCTGTTAGCAGGTAATTTATGCTGAACGAAAAAAAGATATTAACAACAAATTATATAAAATAATGTATTATACATAAACCTTATTGTAAAATATTAATATAATTATAATATGGACAAAAAGCACTATAGGAGCCATCAACATTTAAAAGCATGATACTCAGTAAAGTGAATGAAAAAAAAGCGGACATTTCTTTAAAGCTAAAAAGAAGCAAGTAAACTCAATAGCAGATTACAACTTAACTGTCTTTACTGCACCAAAGTGTGGACTCTTGAGAAGGACCTCAAGGGTCAGGAATCTGTTATTATCCTGCAACTCCAGATTGATTTGTCATTGGTTTAAAAACCCCAACTATACAGACGTTGATGCCCACGAACAAGGACTGCAGAGTTCATTTATTGAGATGAATGGGAATGAAAAGAACCAGCAAATCATAACACACACTGATGAGCCACAACTTTAAAACCACATGCCTAATATTGTGTAGGTCCTCTTTGTGCTGCCAAAACAGCTCTGATGCTCCGAGGGACTCCACAAGACCTCTGGCACCAAGACATTAGCAGCAGATCCCCAGCAGGTCCTGCAAGTTGTGAGGTGGGGCCTCCATGAATCAGATGTGTTGGTCCAGCACGTCCCATAGATGCTTAATAGGACTGATTCCATTTTCCACTGGGAATTTGGAGGCCATGGTAACACCTTGGCTTAAACTTATTGTTCCTCAAACCATTCCTGAACAATTTTTGCAGGGTGCAGTCTCCTGCTGAAAGAGGCCACGAGAACACCATCAGGGAAGGGGTGTATGTGGTCTGCAACAATCTTTAGGTAGGTGGTACGGGTCAAAACATGCCCAGAGCATAACACTGCCTCCTGCTTTCTTCCCATGCATCCTGCTGCCATCTCTTCCCCAGGTAAACGATGCACATGCACCCGGCCATCCACCTGATATACCAAATACAATGAGCTCATTGAAGTAATGAATACTTGTATGTTAACAAATGATTATGACATTTAGAAAATATAGCATTGGTGCATGTTGATTCAGAGTTTGCGTCATCTGAAGTCTTTGCGGGGTTGGCATCGTCTCTTCATAGGTGTTGGGCATCTGAAGTCTTCGCGGGGGTTGGCACCGTCTCAGGTGTCACCGTCTCATCTGAAGTCTTCGTAAGAGGCTGGATCCAAACTGGAGCTGACATACTCTAGTTACCTCAGGATGCGCATCCCAAGATAAAACAGAGAAGCAAATAGAAAATAATTAGCGTAGCTGCTGTTCATAACAATAATCAAGGATAATCATGTGCATTTGATCTGATACAACTGTATAAGGTTATGGTATGTGGTAGTGACATGCCCCCTGAAATTCATACATTTTATATCATATTATAATGCAACTTATTAGGCCTATATATTTATAGAATAGCAAAGTAGGCTTAATCAATATAGGCTACAAGATTTAACCACACAGATTTATAAAGGCTATCATGATCATTTTGCCAAAAATGAACCATGTATTTGTTTAGATTATAATACGTTTTATTTTTAACTTAAACAAATACAACATATAACATTCGAAACTCATCGGCTTAGACTGCATTTGAAGAAAAATAAACACAACAGTTTTCTGTAGCCTTGTGCGAACTTATTCAATAGAATAAGACTTCTAGAATGTTCTTTCCGGTGCAAAATTTTTTTTTAGTAGTTTTTCTTATCATAGCCTACAAATGTCTTCGGAAACACATTTTACTCGATTTACTGAAGCCTGTAAAATACAAAATGCATTTGCAGCTGCACAGCTTGGCTCTGGCTTGCTCAGGCTGCGCTGCGGCAACTGCACATCAAATGGCGCGGGCGCCTCTGACGTACGACCAATGAGCCAACTCTACGTCATTACACATCAGAGCCCGTCAAGGTGGCGCCAAGTCCCCGAATTTGCCATTATAGCAGCGGGTCTTCGTTCATTCATCATAGTCTGTCTGACATATATATTAGAAGCTATGCGTCTGTCATGGATTTGCTCTGAATTGATTCTCAAAAATACGGAACAAAGTGCGTTCCGTATCAGTTCAATACGGAACAAGCCTTTTATGTGTCAAATACGGAACGATTCCGTATTATACGGAACGGTTGGCAACCCTAGAGCCAAATGTAAAAACGCTTGAAGGCCAAAACGGAGAGAAAAATATGCGTTTTCAAATGAAAACGTAGGCTATTATTGTGGATTAGGCCACAGGCCTCCAGGAACGTAGGCTCCTCAGCCCTTTAGCTCCTCCAACACTAATTAAACACACCTGATTTCATCAAGTTCTTCAGGATCACTAGAAACTTCCAAGCAGGGCCTAATTTATAAAACTGTGCTTAAAGCTGCAGTCCGGCGTTTTTCCTCTTTGTCGCCATCTCTGTTCGAAATCTGCAATTGCAGTCATTCGCGGAATTATCAACTTTACGTGAGTTGTAGTTCAACACCCTCGACACCTCACAGCGCGGAGGAACACAATGTCTGAGGAGAGTGTGAGGCTGTCAGTCACCGCGCCGGTGTGGATAATGGCATTCAGAGTCACAGATTATTCTTTTTGGAAGTATGACCAACATAATAATTTTCACCGGAAAATGTCATTTGAACTAGTAAGAAACATCCACCTTTGTTCTGGTTCTGACATTGCAGTAAATCGCGCTGATTAAATCTAACAATCGCTTATAAGTTATCATATCACGCAAAACCGTGCAAATTATACTTTGTTCTCAAATTGTTAATGTTAACAACATAAGCAAGCATTGCGTGACTACATATGTCCTTCCGATATGTAGCCTTGTTTTCGCATGGTCCGGTTGCAGTCTCTTCTTTCTGTAGCCACTCCGAAGTCCGAACAAAGTCTTTTGCATTTTACAGCGGGTGAATCTCTAGTTGTCACTGGTGATTGTCGTTTGAACCTTTCTGGATCCGCCATCAAATTGATAAGTTTAATTATATCAAGTGCTGTGAGAAAAGGCTAAATCTCCACCTCCAACATCCTCACACGCAATATAGGCTACTAGCCGAGACTCCTTCTTTATGTGTACAGATGTGACGTAATGACGCAAAGACATGCTCGAATCTCCCGCGGAAATCCACCAGTAGGCCTACCACTGGAATTAAAAACATTATTAAGCTTACCGCTTTGAATCGAGCTACGGCAAGCAGATAGTTTTGAACACTGGCTGGTTATGTATTTTCTCAAATATGTATTTTGGATCATTTTTAACCCCAAAAAAGCTACGGACTGCAGCTTTAATGGTGCGTTCACGTGCTATGGTAATTATGGTAAATACCAAAAGCCGACGTGGAAATGCACATGAACACCCCCTCATGTGGTATTTCCGAATCCCACTGGGCAGCTCGTAGAATATTTTGATGCACGAGTTGCCGAGATGAGATAACCTTTGGCCTTTTCAAAATGACGGAGATCTACGCGAGAGTCGTGAATGGTAAAAATATGTAGGCCTACTATTCATGATCTAGAAAATATACAGCATATTATTTACCTTTTGAGTTTTGATAAATTATTTTCTTGCTGTAGCAGATGACTTGAGCAATCTAAAATAGTTTTAGCTAAATAACAGGTCTGGATCTCCATCTTTTTACCACATTATGACAACAAAAGCACTTGAACGCAACACACTGGTAAATACCAGTTCACAAGTGGAAAATATAAT